CAAGGTTCCCTAGAGTAGCAGAACATATTAAATTTTGTGTGTGTGTGTATGATTTATTAGAATGGCTTACAGGCTGTAGTCAACATAGTCCAGCAATGGCTGACTATGAACAGAAAGTTCCAGAATCCAGAAGTTGGTCAGTTCACGAGGCTGGATGCCTCAGCTGATCTTCAGTAGATGCTGGAATCTCGAAGAAGTGGACTCTAATGCCAGGGAAGGAATGGGGTTGCCAGCAAGGCAAAAGAAAGCAGGCAGATAGCAAAAGCTTCCCTCTTCCAAGTCCTTATTAAGGATTCCAGCAGAAGATATAACCCATTTTAAAGGCATGTGTTAGAAATGGATCTTCTTACTTCAAACTAAGCAAAAATCCCTCAGTGCTGTGCCCTCCATTTTTGAATTTAAGTCCAGATGTAGTCAAATTGACAACCAAGAGTTGCCATCACAAGAGGGTTAGAAAACAGAAAAGGGCTGGTAAGAAGGCTCTGGTTAAGAGGACTGACTGCTCTTCCCGAGGTCATGAGTTCAAATACCAGCAACCACATGGTGGCTCACAACCATCTGTAATGAGATCTGATGCCCTCACATGGGTGTCTGAAGACAGCTACAGTGTATTTTGGGCCAGAGAGTGGGGGGCCCACAGCAAGCAGGGCCGGAGCAAGAGGGAAAAGGGAAGGGGAAAAAAATAAAAAGAAAACAGAGCAAAGCATTTCTGCTTTTGAAACTCAAAATCTAGCTTGCAGAAATGAGTGTGACTCCCAGGACAAAGTGGGAGAAAGGCAGTCATACTGAGCTAGTGGCACTGGCTAAAGAAGCAAGAACAAGCTGGAGAAAAAAGTATTGAGTTTACGTAAACCACCCATTACAACTACTCATGCTGGGAAGGAAAAACCAGCTCCTAGATCTAGGTCACAGTGGTGGGAAACACACACATTTGCCAAAGGGTGCACATGAAATGAAAGTGTATGATAAGGCCTCAGGCTGTATGTCTTATGCTTATAACAAACATTTCTGAGCATGGTGATACATTCCTATAATCTCAGTTCTCAGGAAGATGAGGCAGGGGTATTCCCATGATCTCAAGGCCAGCCTGGCCTAAATAGCAAATAGTAGGTTAGCCAGGGATACAAACAAACAAATCATAAGTTTTCCTCAACTTATGTTTTCTTGATTTAAGACAAATTTTCTATGTAAGTTAAAATGTAGAGACCTTCCCAATTAATTCATAATCCTTTGGTAAGTGTTACTTAAAGAAGAAATAAAAGACTAAAAACAATCAAAGAAAAACTCTGTGAACCATGGGAATAAATATAAAAGTGGGAAAAATCATCTTAACAGAATAATCAGAAAATTATGACTCATTCTATACCTTGAAAACAGTTAAAAGTGAAAAATACTGAACATAATAGGCATACATAGCCAGATGGTGGTGTCATATGCCTTTAGTTCCAGCACTCAAGAGGCAGAGGGAGAGGCAGATGGATCTCTGTGAATTCAAGGCCAGCCTGATCTACAGAGCAAATTCTAGGACAGCCAGGACTACACAGAGAAATTCTGTTTCAAAAAAAACAAAACAAAGAAACAAACAAAAAAAATGGAATAATGTGAAGCCATTTCTCAACATTGTTTTGCTACATATAAGGTCACCAGGGGAATGTGATATCTGTTTTGTGA